TCCCCTGGGGGGGGGGGGTCCACGTGTTCAGTGGTGAACCCAGAAGTGGAACAGAAGTATTTCCATTCCACTTCCGGGTCTGCCAGGAGCATGCAGGGCCCCCGCTGCACCACCCTGGCTTGGTGATTGGCCATGGGGGGACCCCGGGTGCCCCCCTCCAGACCTAGAAGCCAGCAGTTGCTGAGCCAGGGGGCACAGGGGGGCCCACCAGTGCACTCCCCAGTGGACCCAGAAGTGAACTGGAAGTGGTCCACTTCCGGGTCTGCTGCCGAGCACTCTGGGGAACTCCCCCCGCTCCTATGAGATGCACCATCTGCCTCAGCATCGCAGCATTCACAAGCCACCTGCTACCTAGAGGTATGTAGAAAAAACATTTAAAGCTGTGTCTATGTCCAAATAGCTGAATTTTTCCAAATCAATTTGCACGGTTCCGATTCGATTCGGATTCAGAGATTCAGCCACTGAATCAGGGACCAAAGCTTTGCACAGCCCTAGTAGAGATACCATCAGTCTGTTTACTGTTAACCCAGAATATAATGGACATAGCTCTTCTTCTCAAATAACCATATATAGGACAAAGTTGAAATAGTTGGAAACACAGAGGAAAGTACACATTCAACTTGCGTAAGAATATTTTTGGAACATTTACTGTAATCCAGTTTAAACTCATATTCAATCCTTTGTGTAATGAAAGAGAATGGCAAAGTTATGACTGGTGCTGCTAAAGTTATTTTACAATGGAAAACCTGACAAATACACCAACCCTGACATTTTGAATCATTACAATGTAAACCACATGTGATTGCTGCCAACTTTGCCTTTTTCCTGTGTCTCAAAACCACCCACCTTCCTTTCAATTAAACTTTTTTTAGATTAAAGAAGCACCTGGATTGGAATTTCTAATGTTGTGTTGCTTGCCTAACTATATTAGCAGAACATTTTCCATTTCTTTGCTTCCTGCAATTTACCTAGTATAGTAAAATTGGTTTGGGGCTGTTTCTCACAAAAGCAGATGATAGATCTTGGATAATAATATTGTTTTTAGACCTAAAAAAATAATTTTAGAGATAAATTGAAAATGTAATACTGGATGCCAGAAAAGTTCAGCTTGGGGGCCCCACTGATGGTCACTGGGCTTTGTAAACTAAAACCTGTATTATTCCTCTTACTCCCACTCTGACAAATTGTCTCATGCTTAACTCTAATTTTTATGTGGGTGCAGTTGACTTTATGGACTTTCCCAGAGGCTGCTTTAAAATTTGTTTTACAGACAGCAGTGAGTTCTTTTGGGCTAGCCAGAGCAAAATTGCCAGTTGTGTTCCTTCAGCAATATGACGGGGTGATATTTTTGTTGCAACACTGGGATACTGTCCCCTAGGTTGGTAATGCAGATTACTGGAAAGTCATCTTATGTCTGCCAAACTCAACTCATAACGGTGGGGTTGGGTTCAGATGACCCAATGCAGGCTCAAGAAGACTTAGTATTTTTCCTTTGACCAGCCCCAGTTGCTCTTTATATCTGCTCATGTGTGTATCATGCTTTAAACCAATAACAAAATGCTCCAAATCTTGGATCTAGTAGTCAGGCTAATATGTTTTGTTCTCACAAATAAGGACTGTAGCTTATAGTCAGGCACTTACCCTATGAAGACACATACTGCCCCACCTTCTTATTGGAAGCCCTTTAAAATCTTCCTGGGTGTACCTATTTTCTCAGATTATTAGTTAATTATGGGATTATTTCAGAAAGACAGAGACTTCTTTTTCTAGTTTTTCTTGGCTCTCCCACTTTCTAATTTGTTTTCCATTCTGCAAAGGAATGCCCAGTGTCTCTGAAGTTTAGTGTTGTCTGTAGGAAGGGTTTTTTTTTCTTCCCAAACTTTCAACACTCTGAGCACAGAGATTTATTGTTTTTCCTTTCAACCTCATACTTGTGAGAATGAAGGTTTGAAAAACCTAATTAGGTGGTTTTTAATTTTTTTAAAAATTTATTCTGGGGTTTTTTCAGATCAGAACTAGGATGGGTTTATATCTGGACTCTGTGCATTGCAGGTTGACAAAGTTTGGAGAGCAGACTTCTTAGGCTTTTCCCCATCTTTTATTGACAATAACCCATTCCTCCAAACCAAAAAAAAATCTCACAATTCAAATACTATAAGTAATTGTTCATGAACCACTTTGGAAGCTCCACCTACAATCCTACAGTCACAACCTTTCTAGCTGGAATGGAGAGAGGGATCTAAGCAAAAGTGATGGCTTTGAAGCCTGGCTCTAAAAAGACTGGAATGAATTAAAAAACTAAGTGAAGTCTGAACGTATGAAAGTTACAAATTGACATTATGCTGATAGAAGTTTGAACAACCCCCTCTTCCCTCAGATTTGAACACTTAAATTCAGGTTGCTGAAGGGACAAAATCCTAAACGTTATGGTCTGAGCTTATTTTCAAGAATTATGTAGCCGTGGATGTTCTGGGAAAAAAGTCATTGAAGTTAGTTCACATTGACAGTTACACTCTTCTTTCTGCTACCCAGTCTTGTGTTTTATTTATTACAGTCTGACGGCCACCCTAGCAAGTGTTGGAGCTGCCAGTATACCCAGTGCAGGCCTGGTCACCATGCTGCTGATCCTCACTGCAGTAGGCCTACCCACTCAGGATATAAGTCTACTTGTTGCTGTTGACTGGCTCTTGTAAGTACTGCCAACTCTATCCAATAAAGCCACTTAAAGTCCAAGGAACAAACAGGTTTTTTCCTCTGCTGCTTTTCAATCGTGAATCTTAGTAAACTCTAAAAATATGTATACTTTACAGATAGAGCAAAGGGGGTGCAGACCTGTTAAGCAGCTTGATACTGGCCAGTTGATGAGTCAGTCTTAGAGCAGGGAGGAAAACCCAGAGCCAGGTCTCCAGCTAGTATAAGTTGTTATTGGTACATTGAAACCAATTTACACGAACTGAGGATCTGCTCTTAAGGGTCATGACTCCTATCCTCCTACCTAAGCTACCAGATACTTTTCTTCTCTAAAGACTCTTCTTAATGCTACTTTCACATCACAGGCTTCTCTCAACAGCAATTAGTTCATCTCTTGACTCACATTTCCCTGATTTTAAAGTTTCTTTTGTCTAAAACAAAGTATAGATACAGAGCCTGTAGATTACATTGCAATGCTATCTGCCTATAACATTGGAGATTTGTATGAATGTGGCATTGGGCATTTGTATAAATAGCATTATACCCAGATATCCTACCTCATTCTTCAAGCTACAAGACAATTGACAATTGCCTGAAGTTCAGAAGAAACTTGCCTTCTCCTGCAGTCAAAATTTTATATTCCTGTTTGAGAATCTTAAACCTTTCTCTGAAATATATAGTACTTATGAAGACAGGACATCAGATAAGATGCACCACTAATCGAATCCAGTGTAGCAACTTCTGTCTTTCTAATGGAATCAGGTTGATGCATCTTTTTATTCTTATTCTTAAATCCTTCCAATAGAGGCCTTATAGATGACTGTAGTATGTCTGAGATGACCGTGATACCCCCTCATGGCCAAGCATTGCCTGTCCCACTTTGGCTCTATGGGTACCTGCTCTTTTTCTCTGTCATGCCATGCCTTGATGTAATTGGTTAATTTGTAAGAATGGAGGCTGCCTGATAAATGAAGGCTCATTTGGGCAACTATCTGGCAGGTCCCTCCTAGACCCCACTAGTCTCAATTTCACCTTTCAAGCACTAAGTGATCTGGCCTGTCTGTGCCTCCTGGGCACTAATCAGCTTAAGGGCTAATTTTGTGGCCTCTGATATCCTTTGTAACCATGTCTGGGTCTCACAGGTGTTAAAAGTTAATCATTCTAGGGGAACCTTACCCCCCTACAACAGGGGTCAGCAACGTTTTTGGGCAGAGTGCCAAAAACACCCACAACTTCAACTTGTAAGATGGTGTGCCAGGGCAGATGGCAGGGGAGCCACAAGGGTCCCAATCTTTGTTGTGGCTGGGTAACCCTGTCTCCTTCCTCACCATCCACCCAGAGGCACGTGTGCCAAGCAAAATGCCTTTGAGTGCCACATATGGGCACCCGTACCAGGGGTTGCCTACCCCCACCTTACAAGTTCAATTCTTAAAACCATTGTTGGGACTTCTGCTTTCCCAAACTTCTTCCCCCCTCTCACTGGGCTTCCTCCAGCCTAGGCCCACCATGCTTTACCTGGCCTCTGGGCTCCAGCCCTTTTGGCTGTCAGTATCTCTGGGCCCCTGGCCCTTGCATCTCTCACTCTCGGCCCCTGGCCCTTTTTTAGGCACTGGGCCCTAGCCCCATCTCTGCTCCAACTGGGCTGCTGGGCCCCTGGTCCTTGTCTCAGCCCCTCTGGGCTACTTCGCAGTTTGTGACTTCCTCCCTGCAGGTTCAAGCCTTGCATGATGCTCTAGGACCTCCAAACCTTCCCTACATTCACAAACCCAGTCCTCCAGTCAAAACTCAAACAAAAACCATAAGCCCCCTAGCAACAACTAAACTCTTAGCTCACTGGTTGCATGTCAATCCCTGCTTAGTCTTTGCCCCCTGCCAGCCCTCATCCCTTTTGTAACAGCACTGGCATAGCAGGATCTGTCAGTCACCCAGAAACTGGCCTCTCTCTCTCTCTCTCTCTCTCTCTTTATCTCGCTCAGCAGAGCTCTTTCCCTGGTGGCCTTCAGGACCAGACTGACTGCTTGAGCTCAGGCTTGGGCTCAGGCTCGGCCTCATATTCCTGAGCCCTGCCGCTTTCTTGCCCTGTGACTTCCCTGGGCTGCCTACAGGTGTGTCCCCTTTCCCCTGATAGGTAGCTTATTTCTTAGGCAGCAGCATTTTCTCACTGCCTGACTCTTCACAGCTCAATTTGTTTTGGTTGTTGTTTTGCTATCTGGGCTCTGGCTATCACTCTGCTAGCAGTTGGTTTCTTCATTTAGCTGCTAGACCTTCCTGGGCCAGCTGACCCAACTGCAATTCCCCCTTAAGTAACAGGACTCCCTGTTACACAGATATCTGAAGAAGGCACACAAAACAGCTTAAATAAGAAAGCACACTGGAAAACGGGGAAGGATTCTCCTCTCCAGCTTGCCTAAAACGATCCCTAAAACAGAACTCAGTTTCACACACCTGCCTTCCAGTCTCAGATATTTGAGGTGCAAATTCTTTAAGTGATATTGCATGTCCTCAGCCATATAACATCTGCCTTATCCTGGGACTTCTCTCCTTCACATTTAGATTCTGAAGACTTCTTACTCATACTAAAATATAGCAAATAATAATAATACAGCCAGAGTCACAAACTTGGGTTCCTCGTAATTTGACAGCATCAGCTATTTCTGAGATTTTCCCATAGAATTGTAAGTTCAGCCTGATGAAAGAGTTAAAGGCAGCCTTGGGATCCTCAATTTTTGCTAGTATAGAAAGGCTAGTAGAGACCAGTGCATCTCCTGGCTTACTGCCTAAACTGTCAGGGTATAGATGGTTGTTTCAGAAAGGGGAGGTATAAAGCTGAGAGCTGGTACCGTTCTACCAGATTTCTACCACTTATGGATTTCACCATGCCAGGAGAATCCCCAACTGTCCATTTAAAGCAGCTTTAAATCACTACTGTGTTGTTATAATGGTGCAAAGCTGGATGAGCAGAGCTGAGAATCTGACCTTCAAACTTCAGTGAAAGAACATCATATGCTGTTTATCGTAGTCACCAGTTCTTCATGACTTACCAGGGGGCATTCAAGGTCTCAATCAACCCTGAAAAATGGCTCATGCACCCTGTTACTGTAGTATATCTACTAGACCTGATAGAAAAGATCACCTTATGACACAACCAGCATAAAACCCCTTTTGTGATACCCTGTACACCAGTGCTTAAGGGTTCTGAAGAGCAGCTCATAGCTTCAGTATCAACTTCAGGAAAAAAGAGAGACAGGAATTAACAGCTCGGATAAGAAAATGTAGAAGGTGGTTTTAAAAAGTGAAATTGCAAAAAGTCATGACTCAGAATGGTGAACCAGGGTGGGGCTCAGCAGTCAAAAGGCAGCTGGCAAGGGAAAACGTGATATTCTCTGGTTTTAAATATATTTATGAAGTCATGCCTCAAAACAAGAAAGCAGCTTAGGAATCTGCAGCTGGGAGGGGGAGAGCGAAAGGAGGTATATGTTCAGATTTTAATTATATGTTTTTCTTGGCTGTCACAAGAAGGCCAAATAGGTAAGTTTCTGCAGCTGGTAGGAAGGCTGTGCAAATGAAGTGTGTGGTTTATTTGTTTTTTTAGGGAAATGTCATTTAAAAATATTCACCTGGCCAGCCTATGCTAGCAAACCTCAGAGCCGCAACTCGCCAGCAGTTTTGATCCCCTGCCAGAAACAGTAGTGCAGTCTGGCCACAGACATTTTTACCCTTGGTTCATCTCCCCTTGCTTAGTCTCGCATCAGGGAATACTGAAATAGAAATGTCTGTACTATGGAGCTCTGATAATGGTGAATTCCTGCTATAGAACCTGATACAATACACAGGCCAGAAGCAGAGAGGGAGCCTTTGAAAGAAACATTAAAGGGGTGTTTCCAAATAAATGCCAAGCTGGCACTTGCTCATGTATTTGGAGAGCTGTGGGTCTCTCTGTCCTGACAGTTGACATGAAAATCCAGTGACAAAAATAAGGACCTAGCATCAAGGAGTTAAGCATATAAATAACAAAAATGGAGTCAAAGTCTGTATATTGTGCCATGCTGATAAAACTACTGAAACACTCAGCGCCTGATTATGACACTTTTTTTGGAATTTTATTGGATAGAAAAAATACTGTAGAAATCTTTAAAGAAAAGCTATCGTAATAGTATTTCAAAGGAAGATCATGAAAATCTTGCAAAACTAACTTATCGAAGAACTTTTCATTTCACTGAATGAATTTATCACAAAATTAGCTGACTTCACAAGACTGCTATCATGCAAGGCTGAAATCTTACAGAAACTGTTTTGAAAGATTTCAGTTTGATTGAAATCGAACCTGAATTTTGGATGGGTATCAACCCTGACTGTTCCAGGTCAAACTGAGGTTGATAGGTTTCTGGAACCAGATCTGATTATTATCTTCTGAGTCCCTTTCTAAAATATAGAGATTAGATACAGAGAGACACTCACAGATCAGGCTCTCTCACCAGACAAGTTTCCCAACCTTTCACAGCTCTCACAGTCTGTCAAATTAAAAATTAAACAAAAAAGATGGCAGTGACATTGAATAGGAAGGCAATTATTTGCCAATAATTGGTATGTATCCAGCATCCTTAGCTTTAGCCAAAAGCTGGCTACTTTCTAAATGGGTGACTGACAATATTATAGCTGGGGTTCACATACTAAGGTAGTTTGCACTGAGAAAAAGAGAATTTGAGAAAACAGGTTTAGATAAGCTACCACCAACATTCAGAAACAGCTAGAGAAGTTTGCATGAACATTAACTCCTCTCACCGCCTTGGGTAGGATGGGTCTAAATTCAAAACACTTACACCTGCTTTCTTTGTGGAAGTTATTGCTTAGATCTAAAAAGTTAATCAAAGTAGAGTAATATGTAAAACTGGAAGTGGCTTCTTCCTTAAGTGGAAACAGGGATGAGGTAGGTTAAACTTTGTAGCACTTGTCTATACTGACTTCAAAACAAGCAAAGGGCTGCTGATACATCTTCCTATTCAGCATACATCAAAGCAGAGAAATGAGGCAATGTAATCTGCTTAAAGATTGCACATAACCTAGCAGTATTCTCTGGCGTGTTTCTTGATGCATAGTCATAGCTGCTCTAAACCAACTACACTGCCTTATTTCTGCATTTTGACATATGCTGTGCGACAATAAATGGGTGGGGTGCATTTCTTAGCAGCAGTCCCGCGCGTGAAATAGCAGCTGTCGTACAGTGGTAAAAATTGGCTTTACTCTTTAAATCAGTGGGTTCCTAAGAATTCACTTAAACTGCTTCCTAGGATCTAGACTACATAGTAATGTTGGTTTTTAAGTTGCTTGGAAAGAGATTATGGGGTTTTTCCTCATTCTGGTACATTGTAGGCCCATTGATGTATTTTCATTGCTGCCAATGAAGTTGATTTGTCATTAGACTACAGGATCAGACCCTCTGAGTCCACACTATCATAAAATCAATGGCAATTAGCTACAACAACAGTAAGTTAAATATGAGAAGTCCCTTCTTCTTGGAGGAATAATTTTGCCAAATCACAGCTGATCAAGTAATTGTGTGTGCTAATTCTTCTAGTCTTGAGCTTGCAAGATACGTTGAGTGAGCAGAAACTAGATTAAAAGGACCCCTCAAGCACTTGCTGTATCAAAGAAGAAACCAGAAGCTTTCATCAGAAGAGCTTTTAATTCTCTTCTCAGTCTTCCTCTAAGAATTAAGGTTTCAGACATCTTTGACAAATAATTTACTAGACCATCCTTTTCTGTTATTTTCACTGGTGCCACTCTACTGATGTCAGTTAGGTTGTTCCAGTGTTATTGACAAAGACTTTATTCTGGGGGGTTTTAACCAAAGAATGTTCTTTCCATCCTTGCTGCTTCCCTAGGTATATATGGCCCAGTAGAAGTCAGGGAGTTTTGCCACTGACTTAAAGAGCCATGATCTCACCCTCTATTTCAATTAAATTAATCTTACTAAGTCTGTGCTGAATACTTCTGAAATACTGTGCAATTTGCATAGCATCTTTATACTTGGCTATGAACATATACAGAAGGATCGAGGTATCTCCTGCCCTGATCCTCGCACATATAAAACACACTGAATCTGTATTTGTGCATTCTAGTCTCCACCTGCTTTTTGGCAAGCATAGACTGTCTCATCTCAGAGTGGCATCAGTGAATCCTTTCAAGATTTAAGTCTATTCATTCAAAGAAAATTCAGGCATTCTGTAAAGAACATTGTATGGCAGAAGTCAGTATTTTTTACAGGCCTCAGTAAAATAAATAGACCTCTGCCAATAGTATTTTCTTATTCTTCTACTTTTTGTGTTTAAAGCAGACTACACATGCATGAGATAACTGTGTGAAATATTTCACTCTAGTAAAGCAAAAATGGGGGGATTTTTTTTCCTTTCTACAATAGTGTGAGCATTGACCCCCCCCCCCAATTTTTTTTTGCACCTTCATGATTTTTATTCAAGAATATGTTGACTTGGCTATGAAGTGTTAGATGCATTGGCAAAATAATGAAAACTATCTTTGAAAATCAATTGAAATTTCACAGTTGGGGAGAAGAATTTTCAAATGGTTTATGGTGAGACTTTGGCCAAAAGTTAAAAAAAAAAGATTCACTCAGCCTTAAATAAGCATATGTAATGATTACCAGTCATCATTGATGGGGAAATCATTTACCTTTTGCCTCAGTGCCGTATAAGAAGCACCAATATAAAGCAAACATAATACCAGAAAAAGTAAGAATAAAGGGAATACTTTAAAATAACCACTTTTGTGTAGAGTTTTACATGCCTGTTTTTCTACCATTTAGTAAAATTCATATTGTTCAATCTTCTTGTACCCTGCAAGCAGATTTTTTTGGAAATACACTTCCAAAAGTTGTTCAGATTTTCTGCATTTACATTTCTGATTGGTCCAGAAGACTTATTTAACACATCAGGAATTAAGACACTGCAAGAACCTTTTCTTCTCTTTCTTCCTTTGACTGCTGCTGTCTGGCCCATATCTGAGGAGGCCTACAGATATTTAATATTGTTATTTTATATTTTTGTCCTTCAACAGGTGTTAAAGCACTCTTCAAGCTATATTATCAACAACCTATATGATTCTTTAGCTCCTGACCCCCAATCATCATTTTAATAAAATGTAACTTTCTAAACAGTTCCACAGTAGTGGAACTTACACTAGCATATAGTGGGTATAAAATGGTACCATAGGAGATTGGTACCAGTCTACATCACCATTGCACTGGCACAAATGAATCCATAGCGTGCAAAGCACTTTAATGCCCACTGTTGATGGGTGGCAAGGAACCAGGGATGTGCAACAGATTTTCAGATGATCCTCTTTTACGCTTCTGTTGAAGTCAAGTTCCAGAGTGAGGGGCAATTGAGAATACCTCAGTAAATTCAAAATAATTTTCCCTGCCTGTGCAAAATCAATTTTTTGCCCTGACAGATTCAGATTAATCTAAAGGAACTAAAGTGTGAAGAGCATATTGAGATAAAATCTCCAATCGGAGAAGCAGGTGCATGGGGGAGCTCAGCAAAATTTAGCTCTGAAGTTTGGCTGCATTGCATAATCGCTTTGCCAAGATCAATAAGCATGAGCAGCTGTGCCGTAGAAGTTTGTACATAGTTTCTGATTGAGCAGGTCCCATGGGAAGACAATCTTTTTCAACTTGAATAGAAAGCTAAAATCCTTTTCCTTCCAAGTATCCCTTAAACATTCTGAAAATGATAAATGACAGCCACAGCAACTGGGGTGTGAAGTATTCCTTCAGACCTGACTTTCCTTTTTCCCAGGTAGAGAGCTCCAAACAACACACATGAGCCTTCCCTGCTCCAAAGTGATTTGTCATTGGGTGTGAAACCTATCTTCCTCTTCTTTTATAGAGACCGGATGAGAACTTCAGTAAATGTTGTGGGAGATTCTTTCGGTGCTGGCATTGTCTACCACCTCTCCAAGGCAGAGCTCGATAACATTGATTCCCAGCATAAGGGACATGAAGACATTGAAATGACCAAGACTCAGTCAATTTATGATGACATGAAAAATCACAGGGAAAACAATTCAAACCAACGTGTATATGCAGCTCACAACTCTGTCATAGTAGATGAGTGCAAGGTACCTTTCACATTTATGGATATTGAGACTTGTATATAGCAGTGCATGCTTTGTTTCACTTCATTTTTTAACCTGCATGTCTTTTAAAAAAATATTACACCAATAACAATGTGACGACAGTCTCTATGAACCCCAGACATGTTAAGTGAGCAGACAAAAACAGCTTTCTGCACTGTTCTTAAACATGTCACTTGAGGTGGAAAATTATATATAATGTTTACATATGAAAAGCTAAGGCACTATGCAATATATTATGGAATATGCCAAGACACAGAATATGGCATCACCTTTTCTTTGGCAACAGAGAACCAATGGCCACTCAAAGGATGGCTGGCCGCAAACTAAACACAGGTGTTATTATTTGTTGACTATCTTCCATGATACGCTGTAAAGAGACTCAGTCATTGAATTCACCCTGTCATCTGATGGCTCCAGCACTCATACAGCATGTGTATGCTTTGCTTTCATCATCTTTCTTGGTTCACTTACAATAAGGACTTTACAATTTCTATCTAATCCTTACTGTAACTAGCATGTATTTGAAACAGACAATCAAAAAAAGGTCTGATTAGAGCAAAGCGAGCTTCCGAAACCCTACCAGCTGAATGAGAAGTCAATGTTGGTGATGTGTGTTTAGATAGATACCAGCAACCAAAGCCAAGGCAGGGCTGATTAAAAATCAAGAGAGGAAGGAAAAGAAAAACAAAAACAAACCATATAATGTTTATGTCCATTTTCCTTCAGCTGATTCTGCTCCTCACACTTGATCCTATGTAAAATGAGTTGCTTGTGGCACATGCTGTCAGTGGATTGTTGTTATGATCAGTAATCATGCCCAGATTGGTGCGTCAACCACAGCTAGGTATTTGCACGGAAACAGAGATCACAGAACATCTGGCACCTCTAAGTTTCTACTGTGCCCCACATAATCGAATGATCTAGTTATCTTAGGCACTGGAAAAGGCAAAAAAACTTCTGATGTTACTTCCCACAGTCATCAGTAGGTCCAGGATGGTTTTCCGCAGTTTTGGGGGGTTTTTAACTGCTTTGTCCTGGCCTGCTTCAAGTGACTCAGGCAGGAACATTTTCCATGGAAATATTTTAGTTAAACAAACAAACAAAAACAACCAACCAACCAACACCCTTTCATTTTTTTCCAGGTTCTTTTCATGGGAATTTTTCTTTTTCTTTTGGATGCAGTTAAAATAAGTATAAAATTCCCTTTAGTTTTTGCCTTGTTTTTGGATGTGTTCTCCCCTCTGTCTTTCCTTCTTATTTTCTACTGGAAAGGCAAGTAAAAAGGAAAATGAAGTGGTGTGTTGGCAAAGAAAACAAGTATTTTTTAAATAAAGGAAAAATTGTATTTCATTTTCTTTAGTTTAAAAGAAAACAGAAGAAAAAATATTCCAGACAATGTTTGTTTCCTTTAAAAAGAAATGTTTCATCAAAAAGTAAACAAAATATTTTGGATGAGTACTAGACTTCACCTGGAAATCTATTTTACAGTCCAATAAAACTGCCGCAATTCCTAAATGGATAAAAGGAAACAGTAATTATTATAACACTCATTTCTTTGGCTTGACACCTTTTGGATTTATTGCTTCTAGATTTCGTGATGTGAGATACACTGCTGTGGCCAACAGATTTGCTCCATCTCTGTACATTGGATTTAAAGTAGTGTTGAGAACACACAACATGCCACTGACTTCAATGTAAAAGTTCTTATCATTGTTCAGGACCAGTCCCTCTTCTATTAAAAAGATACAAATGACCTAAGGAAATATTGGCTATTCACAAAGCATAAAACTGTTGCAAATACCAGTGACAGCTTGAAGGTTAATTCTTTAGTTGAAAGCAATATTTTAAGAGTCACCACTACAATCCTGTTTTTAAGATGGAATTCTTTGTTGAACAATTAATCACACAGAGAAACAGGAGGCAGCTGCGCAGATGGTAGAAATAACTCTGTTTACAACAACTCTCAGAATCTGGGGCATCAAGACAACCCCAGGTTGTGATTTCCTGATGCTGGTGTTTGCAAGCACAAATCTTGTACACCAGTCATTTCCCCCATCATATTGGGTATACAGAGTACCATCTTTTCCCAGTTTCTCAAAGATTTATACACAAGCAAAATGCAATGGTAAATTAGTTCATGCACTTTCCTTTCTCCTTCAGTCTCTCTCATGTAGACCTCTTTGGGGGTCTTTAAGAGGAGGCTTGATGCCTACCTGGCTGGAATCATCTGAGCCCAGTTTTTCTCCTGCCCAGGCGGGGGGTAGGACTTGAAGGATCTACAAGGTCCCTTCCGACCCTACTTCTATGATTCTATGATGTAGTTCCCACCACTGGACCCACAGGCTTCCCCCATAAATTTGGGATGATAGGACATAATTCTACTTACAGGTAATAGACATGAACGTGGATTTAGGCACCAAAGTGCATTCTGATTCCACCTTGCTCAAGTTGCTAAAGAAATGTTAATACAAAAGGTGGGCATATCTTTTTTGGGGACTCCGTCTTAAGGGTAAGATGTTGGTGCATTATGGAAGTAGATGCAGTAATGGATTTTCAGGTACTTGTACTGGTAACAGTAGTATCACACTTAGGTGCCTAAGTCTACTTAGACATTCAATAGGTGGAATAAAATTCGGCTCATGATGCTACAATGTCAGTCTGAGAATGCTCTCCTGTTAAAAGTTGGCATAACTAGCAATATTTGGCACCTATTCTTGTTTTACGCTTGCTCTGCCCTGCAACCCTATTAGTACATTCAGGCTTTTGAGAGGAACCATGGCTTACCATGGAACATAAGGCTGGTTTTGGGCAAGTTACCTGTGTCACTCAACTCCCCATCTGCCAAATGGAAATAATACTTACCTACCTCACAGGGATGTTGTGAGGATTAGCTGATGTTTGTAAAGCACTTTCAACACATACAGTGCTCCACATACTGACACAGTGTAAGCTTTTTAGGATCGAAAATAGTTAGGTCTCAAGCTTGAAGAGATATTTCTAAATCTTGCAAAATTCACTGGAGGGGAGAAAAGTTCGCTGAAACTCTAGTTAGAAGTTTAAATAGCTAATAATATTAACCTGTCATCTCTGTTTACCTCTTGTAATATACTCAAGACAGCTCCTGTAGTATATAGATTTGCACAGGCAATGTATATTTATATTAAGTAGACAACCTTTATATTGGGGTAAAGTGGCTGTTATTGCATGATATTTTTGTATTTTTTTATGAACACATTTCACATTATGTGGTTTTCAGTTCCAGTTGTGGTGTTGGTAATTGCATGCGTTTTTCTCACCATTACCTAAGAGAAAACTGACTATTTCAAACATTGGTGCATTTTGTTATGTATCCATGTCCCACTGCTTCCATACATCCAGTTTACCCATCACATGGAAATTCAGTCCTGTCTGTAAGTTTTTCTATGAAGCTGAAGACAGAAAATCAGAAGGTAAGCTAGGGAAGAGTGGGCTGTCCATTTAGAGTTGAATGAAAGTTCCCTAACTATGGAAAGGTCCAGTTCATAATTACTTAGCCAAATAAACAGTTATTCTGGCTCCTTCCACCAGAAATGTCTCCTCTTAATCATTTCCCGTGACTATTGGGATATAATGCACCAGCCAGTATTTCCTGTGAACTGAAAGAGTAACAGTTATAGCTTTTGCCAACCTATATCATTGATATTGTAGCGTGAACTTTGTTATAATTGTGTTTTGTTGTTCTGTTTGTAAAGTAAGAATTGCTTGGCCTAAGCATAGCTACGTAGCTAAACCTTTCGCATGCATGATCATAAATAATAGCCAGATGAATACTGCTTTAAACTAGTTCTTTGAGAAGCAGTGGTTCTGCCACTTTTTAAAGGATTCTGTAGCATGTGCGTGCATGTGTGTCTGTGTATTAGTCTGTTCTTTTCACATTCCGCCATGCCCTGAAGCAGATATCCTGCCTTGTTTTTGAATGCTAATGAATCTTATTTACTCCATGTTAAAGAAACATAAATGTTCTTTTCTTGCAAGTTGGGAGAAATATGAAGAGGACAGAATAGGAAGATTAATCTGAAATATTTATGAAAATTAAACAGCCAAGAGAAAAAAATCCAGAAAGCCTGGACTATTTTTTTTACTAATGTTTTAGTCAGTGTTAAATGTCTACTATATATAAGTATATATACTTCCTCCCAAGTTTGGAAATCATCTTGAATTTGGAATTTTTTACGCATAGAGTATGCAATTCCTGTAAATACCATGATTCTCCTGTTAACTTGTAACTTTTCTCATTGAAGTGCCTTGGGTCTTTAAGTTAGATGTCAATGATAATTACTTGCAGGTAACACTGGCAACCAATGGCAAATCCGCAGACTTCAGTGTTGTTGAGGAAGAGCCTTGGAAACGTGAAAACTAAGGGAAGAGAATTCCAGCTCCATCTTTAATAAACCCCTGAAGCTGTCTTATGGTAAACGATTAAAGAAGATTGCTCTCTTTTTATTTAACATCTAAGGTTTCTGCTTATTTAGTTTGTTAGCTGAAACTTAGCAAAGAGCTCATAAAGTCATTGTTTAGCTGAAGTGTTTTTTGCCAAATAACAACTCATAACCATCTATCTCCCCTGTGTCACTGTTTGAATGGATGCAGCTGGGGAATACTTTATATGTAAAGAGGTACATTCTCACCCGCCTTCCCCTTGCACTCAAGACACAGAGAATGTAGATGCTGCAAAATGAAAAGATCAACACGCCAGTATGGCTCTCTCCAGGGACTCAGGGTAACAAACATATAGTATCATATAAACCTTAAAGTGTTGTTAGTGTCTCTGTGACATACAAATGAATCAGTACTGCGGCATACATTTGATGTATTTAACATTATGTAGCTACAATGTTAACTGTCTACAAAGTGTTTTCTATCTGTTTAAATGATAATTAGGCCTTCTCTTGGGTAATGCTGAATTGTTATATTCCTGTTACACTTTAAGTGTATAAGTGTTTCATTTCAATTTGGGGGCTAAATTCATTCCAAGTGTAATTCCATTAAAATCAATACTGTCTATACATCCAAGATAGCATACATCCATCAGCAATGATATATTGTAACTATTAATGTCATTCAGAATTTGCTGATATTCAAATACAGTTTGTTGCACTGCAGGGCTCACCTGTACCATCCTCCACCCCCATTATCACACTCAGTGCTATCTTCCTCCACACACAGTCCCATGCACTGCCATGCAATTACTCATATAGTAAGATACTACTCAGAATAGATAAAGGGGTTACAGTTGGGCCCACAATAAATTTGAGGTGAAGCCAAATCCTGACCAGTTTACTCAGCTACAATTCTGATTGAATATGGCTTGCTGAATTTGATTATTACTGTACAATCAACACACAATGTTCAACTGAAATTAGTTTACAAGGTGTTCATTTATACCTTATGACACTAAGACCTGCAGGCACTCAGGCTCCTGACTCACTTAGATCCTTTTGAAAATGTTACCCATGTGTTCTTTATATGGACCTCCTATAAACTATATAAGTATCAGCCCCTACCACCTTTCTTCAGAAGGTTGGGTCACTCCCACTGAATATGACCCAACCCCACAAGTAGTCCCCAGGTGACTATTCTGGGAAGAAGGTTTTATTCAACATAAGGAAGAATACTAGGATCTGGCCCCAGATCACTACTGAACATATTTTTGTTGGGGATGAATAATTGTGTGTAACATGTTAAAATTTAATGGTGCTTAACACACATCAGTTTACTGATGCATCTATGAAACACTTAACTTAAAGTGATAACTGTCTTCCTTCTCTGAACATTTCATGTAATGAGCCAACATGCTTAATAAAGAAGCCATTAGTCAGTCACATTTCAGATTTGAAATCTATAAGAAAAATGGCTAGGGTTGGGACTGAGTCAAGGAAGAAACCAGGAACTCAGGATTTAGGCCAGTAACTTGAATCCCTATCTCTCTGATGTGAATTAATAGCTTGTGTTAATCTCTTTGTTTTCTGAAAAGTAATGACTGTAAAGAACAAAGCCTGTGAATAAATAAGGAGATATTTTGTCAACAAATCCTTGTAACCATAAGTATTCGGAAAAATATAGGTGAAAATCACTTATAGTGTTCTATGGCAGATCTGATCCAGGGACACCCTGCCTACTGAGCAAACTGCCTGTGTGTAACATGAAACGTGTGTACGTTTAAAAATTTTCTCTGAGTTGACCAGCCCATGAACTTATCTGAAACTTAGAAGAAAAAAGGGGGAGTGTTTATGGATATATGTTACCCTTAGCCCATGGACATAGCTGCTATGGATGTAAAATGCATGCACATACTAATCGTATTTGGCCCTGTAAAATCAATTTCTGAGTTTAAATGTTAATCTGACTGGATTTTTTGTTTTTCATGCTCTGCATCTATGTTTGTATGAGGATTTCCACCAAATCACTGACCAGAACCAATAAGGACTATTTGCATGATTAATGATCTGCAGGATCAAGTCAACATAGTCACTAATCCTGTATTTGTTGTGTGGGAAATATTCCTTGTGAATGTTTCTGCTCCACTGACATCCTCTTACTACCATCCTAACCAAAATATCCTAGAGAATTTAATAGGTACTGAACCACTACATGCCCTATACATTTTTACCGTGAAAACCTATAGAATTGAATAAAAGATAATACCTTTCTGAAGGTCTTTTGAATCAACTTAGATGTTTGTAGCAGTGCTAGATCTCTCTGTTATACTCTATAGGATGGTTTCAAACAAACGCATCATTTTCTATTTGATTCCTTAGGACTATTTCCTTCTTCAGTGGGCGTGTCTACACAAGACATTTTCTGTGGAGCTGGCCAATTAGCTCTGTAGTAAAATGTCGCTGTCTACATGCGCAGTATTATTAGGCCAGAGTAAACTAATTAACTCCACCATAGGATGATACTACCAGACACAAGTACTATGTTGTGATGGAGTTACTTCACTGAAATGCACATGTAGACACTGATGGAGTAGCCTGGGGTACAAGTATGCTACAGTGCAGGGTCTGCCTGCTGGCTAGCCCTGCACTATAGCACCCTCATGCTCCAGCCAGCTCTTTCACAGCACGTTGAGCTGGGTTGGAGCAGTCCCAGGCTCACAGGTGATCGCCAGGGCCCCCTGCCAGCTGGAGATGCTCTGCCTCAGCTCAACATGCTGTGAATCCAGGTATACATGCAAACGCTGTGCCCAGGAGCATTAAACTCCAGTGTGAACTGCAACAGAGTTAATTGCTCCACCCTAATTGCACATGTTGATGTGTCCAGTGCAATACTTAGGTGTTTGAAAGGATCCTATTCTTATCCTTCTGGCACCCAAAAATGCAAACCTACAAATGTACACATGCTTTGCTTTTCATAAACATGTAAACATAACCAGAAAAAGGAAAAGAAAAAGATACCATGGTGTTCAACATAATTAATGGAAAATTGTAAGTACTCTGAACTTTTCAAGATCAGGAACCTAGTCTGGATTGGAATAAAAGTTTTGTTTCCCTGTCCCCCACATGAAAAGCTCCCAAGACTGCTCCAGTACTCTCTAAAATGTACTATAGTTAGCATAGCTATTTTTTGCATGTTGGTTCACCTTAAGTGTAATTCTTTTAGAGCTAAGTAGTAGTTATATCTAAGAACAGAATACTGAAATATAGTTGAGATTCACAAACATGTTTAAAGCATGGCCCATATCATAATAGCAAAGTGTGACACCTTCCATCCTATTCATGAAAATCTACCTTCCCTGTGGCAGCTATCAAGTGCTTACATTTAAATGTATCATTAGGAAGTTGATTAGTGTATTTTATCTGTCTTTTAAAGTAATTTAGTAGCTGGAAAGATGTAGGAGAGCAACACTATGTAACTAAGCAGTTCCATAGAATTGCATACTGAGAACAGCTCAGAATTTGTTTGTCTTTATCAGCTGTGAACAGACTGCCCTTTAAGGAGGTGTTCTTCAGATCAGGACTAATAGAGGGTGAGGTGAAAACTCCACCCACACAGCCTTTTATTTTGACAAAAAAAGCAGATTGCACAATGTTTAAGTAGGACTTTAGTAGCTACAGTAACTCAGGGAAGTTTCAATAGATAATCACCATGACATTCTTCTACTTATATGGAAATGGGAGAAGTGGAGCAATAGAGAAATACTGTTTTCTGTAAACTCTTTGTTATTACACAAGCGTGGTGCTGCTCCAACAAGTACAGAATTTAATCATCAAAAAGCTTTCCATTACTCTGGGAAATGTAACTCACAATTGACTACAATTTTAAAATTTTGCTCCTTCCGCTTGAGGCTTGGTTGCTACTTAACTAAACAAACAAGAAAACCCCCAGAACTGGCCACTCAACCTAATGGAAACTTCATATCTGAGTGGACAATGCTTGTTACTGGCTTCTCTCATTTATTCAGATTGTGTCATACAGTGGTTTTGCATTTGGCCTACAAAGCATTGCATTTCATTATTCATTTCTCTAGTGTCCGCGAAGCAAAATTAGGGGATGAGCACAGCAGCAGATGACAGGCTTTTGGTGTTGGTATATAAACTAAAATTCCTTTCTACAGGCATTTTCTTAGTCTTCTGTCAGTGATTTCCTCAATTGCCTACATACTTATGAATGATACATATGTGTTCCCTGGAATGCTGACATCAGCATAAGATCATAGGGAAATCTCAGGAAATATTATGCTTTAAAACAAATACGTGCATAAGCATTTTTCTGGATAGAAATGTACTTACATATTTGAATACTTTGCTGAATCAGGAATATTACTTAGTCTATTCCAGTGACATTCTTCCAGGCCCATTGCACACTGTAGTGAAAACTGAAGTAATCATAGAATCACAGGGTTGGAATTGATCTCAAGAGTCAGCCAGCCCAGGTAGTACTGAATTTCTTCTTCAGAATTTCTTTCTAAAAACACGACTGTCTTTGTGTAAAACAAGTTTGCACAGGATTTATGCATTAAGGTTTATGCCAACTAAATCACAAGATAATACATACACCTCTCAGTGAAGGTGGTGAGACATTTTTTTTTTCCTTTGGAAAACTATGTTTTTTATGCTTGCAAAGTGTTGACCACTCTAAGCTCCCACTGAAGTCAACTGGAGCTCCCACTTAAGTCAAGTGTTCAGCTCCTTCCAAGATGCACTAGCATCCTCAATGACGGTCTGATTCACCTATAAGTAGGATACTTATTCACTCAAAAATCCCATTAATATTAAAGCAGAGAAAGATTATTATTGTTCATCCTTGCCATTTCCTTCATTACTGTTAATACCTCATCGCTCTTTAATGCTAGTTGGGGATTTTAACCCTGAGACCACACTTCTAGAAAAGGAAGAGAATTTTGTCAACCATTTTAATGCGAGCAGAATCTGACTGCATTTAATGCTGGAGCCCATGTTATCCTCTTTGAAATATTCTGTTTTCAGTTCCTTTGTGTAGGGCAGTCAAAGGAATGTATAATTCTAACTTTATCAGCATTTCAGCAAGCACATTTTTATCCTCTCCTATGTGGGGGACAAGAAAAGTAGTGCAAGCTATAAGTTAAACTTGTGCAGGATTAATTCAGGCATAAATAGGGTTACTGTGGGTCATGTGTTTTGCAAATGCTGTCAGGCAATCAATAATGTTGACTGCAACTAAGTTAATGATCCATGTTGTCATCTTTTGTTGTTGTTCAATTCTTGCATTATAGAAGAATCCAGGGAAGCTCAAAGTCCAATAATGAAGCTTTCCTACCTCCTTGAACCAATGGGAACAGACTGTGCAGTTAGGCCCCCTATACACATTTTATCTATTGGACAATTGTGTTGTTAATGCATAATAAAATTAGACTGGCTACATATGCAAATTAACCATTGCCTCTTAAAAGGGCCCAACCAGGTATAAAGTCATTCCTTGATAATGTGTAATAGCATTATAGCTGGTTTCTATCCATCTTAGGCTGGAAGACTGCAACTGCTGTGATCTCCCAGGCGCTGGAGAGCACAAGGGACTGGAAGATCACAGCCAATGCAGTCTCCCAGCTGCAGAAGTGTAGGGGGGTACTCCAGGCAGTGGCTGGCACCTGATAGGGCTCAGTCCTGGCTATGCCACTACAGCCAGGACTGAGAAACCCCTGCACCTGACAGGGATTTTTAGTTCTGGCTGTTTTTGTGGTGCAGCCGGGACTGAGAGCCCCATCAGGTGAGGGAGTCATAGTCCTGGCTGTCTGTGTGGTGTGCCAGGAGGAGTGATTATATGGATCACACATTAGATCCTTTACCTACAGGTGTAGGGGGGGGCCTTGGTTCCAGCTGACCCTCCAAAATGATCTTTGCTTGGTGTTCCAGGTGAAGGTGGCTCTCCCGCCGATGTGCCATAAAGGAAAGCTCCTATACTCAAATTCAGAAATAAGTTTAGAATTATGCATATAAACAAAAACAGCTTAAAAAAAAAGATTTTTTTTTTTTTTATAATCTAAGATATAGCTAGTGTTCATTCACATCCAGAATCCTAATAAATGGTATCTGCCAGTATCTGTAGGAACACGGAATTCCAAAGTTCATTTTCTTCTCTTTTTTTTTTTTTTAAGATCTATGAATACTGTAAATTTCTGATTTGTCTTCCATTCATTTTCACCATGAATCCTTGGGCTAGAACATT